GCCACTAACCATTCCAGAATGGAAGTGGGAGCATGTGACCATGGACTTCGTGGTGGGGTTACCACGAACAGTGAACAACTATGATGCAGTATGGGTAGTGGTTGATAGGCTCACCAAGAGTGCACACTTTTTGCCTATCAACATTACTTATCCTCTTGAGAGATTGGCAAAGCTATACACGGAGGAGATTGTGAGACTACATGGAGTCCCGATATCCATTGTCTCGGATAGGGATCCACGATTCACATCTCGATTTTGGCCCAAGTTTCAAGCATCTTTGGGTACTAGATTGAAGTTCAGCACGGCTTTTCATCCACAGACGGATGGACAATCCGAGCGAGTGATACAGATATTGGAGGACATGCTTAGGGCGTGTGCTCTGGAGTTCCAAGGAAGTTGGGACAAACATTTGGCTCTAGTCGAATTCGCCTATAACAACAGTTATCAGGCGAGTATCGGCATGCCTCCATACGAGGCATTGTATGGGAGGAAGTGCAGAACACCGTTATGTTGGGACGAGGTTGGCGAGGCCAAGCTCGAGGGGATTGAACTTGTTGAAATCACCAAGGCTAAGGTGAAAGTCATTCAGGATAGACTCAAGGCTGCCCAAGATCGGCAGAAGAGCTATGTCGACAAACGACGAAGGCCATTGGAATTCGAGGTCGGTGATAAGGTCTTCCTAAGGATTTCTCCTTGGAAGGGTATCATCCGATTTATATCGAGGGGAAAGCTTAACCCCCGATACATTGGTCCATTTGAAATCCTTGAAAGGATAGGGGCCGTAGCATACCGACTCAAGTTGACGCCGGAACTTGAGAAGATACACGATGTGTTCCATGTGTCGATGCTCAAGAAATATGTGAGAGATCCGTCTCATATTCTTGAAAGGCCACCGGTAGAGATACACGAAGATCTACAATATGCGGTGGAACCGGTGAAAATTGTGGGACAACAAGTGAAGAAATTGAGGAACAAGGAGATTCCTATGGTGAAAGTCCTTTGGAGGAGTGATCGGGTCGAGGAAGAAACATGGGAGACCGAGGTCTCAATGAGAGAGCAATACCCTTTTCTCTTCGATTAGACACGTGGATTTCGGGGACGAAATCCCAAATAAGGGGGGGTGAACTTGTAACACCGTCCCCAAATGTATTTACTTTTAAGTGAATATTTTATTTTAACCTTATGGAACGGTTGACGAATTTACGATGTGATGAGTTTTTATTAATTATTTTGCGTGAATAGTAAATTCGCACGTGCGGCCCACACCGGGAGCGGGGACCGCCCAATGTTCCCGGGACCACATGAATTATTCATCTTGGTCTAGATAATATTTATATGGTGGTGGGTAACTCATTTGAGCCATGGAAAGGTCCAGAGTTGACCGATTGGTCAAAAGTGGCTCAAATACCGGTTTGGGTAATTTCACGGATAACAGCCCGAAATGAATTTCGGGGGTTTATAAATTAATGTTGGGGAATGTATATTCATTATAGGGGTCATAATGATGGAGAACACATAATATATTTTATTTGACCCGATAAAATAAAATATATTTAAAACAGTCCGAAAAATACAACTTTCGGGACCGATTGTACACTTTGGGACACAAAGGGATGACCTCCCACAAGAGTGGGGGCCACCCCACGTTTTTGTGCTAAGAAAAAACAATTGAGGGGCTGCACACATGGGTTGACATTGGAGGAGAGTGATGGGTGGGTGAGAAGAGACCAAATGTGGCCCAACCCTCTCACTCATTTGCCTATTGAGACAAAGAGGAGTACCCTCATCCCCTCACCTTCTTTGTGCGGCCAAGGCAACCCAAGAGAGAGGGATAGCTCCCAGAAAAGATTACCATCTTCCATAGCCAAGAACAAGCAAGATCAAGGAGGTCCAAGGGAAGGATTTTGAGGAGGAAAAACTAGGTTGATTAAGGTAAGGACCTTATAATAACTTCTCCTCTATTCTTTAATTATCATATGAATCATATATCATATGAAGAGCCTTGAGGGTTGTTCTACATGATTTAAGTGTAGAATAATGGATTGGAAGGTGGTTCCATGTCCAAAAACGGATATGGAAGCCAAACCGACCGGCTTACCGGGAAATAACCTTTTAGAGGTTATTTGTATTGATTAAGGTTTTATGATGATTAAAGCCTTGTTAGGGACTTGATTTAAGCATTTTTGAACCTCGCCGGAGTTTCGCCGGAGTTGGTCAAAGTTCGCCGGAGTTGGTCAAAGTTCACCGGAAACTAGTCAAAGTTCAACCGGGAAGCGTAGAACGCGTGTGAGCTCACTTAAGGTGAGGATGACCGACTATATTGCTTATAATTATTGGGTTAATTTCATAAGATTACCTAAATGAATTATATGTGTTTGGCATGATGTATTTATAATAGTAAAATGCCTAAATGAGATTTTTATTGTTTATAAGCAAAAATGCATAATATACAAATTTATTAATAAATTGTGTATGATTATGTGTTATGAATACAATGGTATAATAGTTGTGTAAACTATAAACTAAATTGTGATAAATATACTTTTACCTCATGTAAGAAAGTCATGGAAGGATAAAAGTGATATTTTGATATTAGAGCCAAGTTATACTTGAATGTGGAATTTAATTGAGATATTCAAATTATTATGAACTTAAGTTACATTTGGAGTAGGCCTTAAGGGTTACTCAAAAATGGATGGAACCTAGACTAAGAAGTGGTTTAGGGATTAGTTGACGTGACTATGAGCCGAGCTCTAGCACGTGGTAGCATGACTATGAGCCGAGCTCTAGCAAACGTAGGGTGACTATGAGCCGAGCTCTAGCACAAATTAGTATGACTATGAGCCGAGCTCTAGCAAACGTAGGGTGACTATGAGCCGAGCTCTAGCACAATTTAGTATGACTATGAGCCGAGCTCTAGCAAATGTAGTGTGACTATGAGCCGAGCTCTAGCACAATTTAGCGTGACTATGAGCCGAGCTCTAGCATGAAAGAACATGAGTTAAGTACAAATGAATAACATCTTGGATTGAGGGTCTTGGAAATTGAAACTTTGATTATACTTAGTATAGTTGTCATTGTACTTGTCAAATGCTTCCAAGTACTGACCTCCCCTTCACGGGGGAGGCCACCTCACAGTTTCAGGTAGGGAGTAGAGCTTGCTACTACCGCTCGTTGCTTCGGGGAATTCAAGGAGGAAGGCGGGGTTCGTACTGCTCCTGTTTCTGTTTTGAAAACAATTTAAATAATGCTCATGGATATTATTTCGAATATTTATTTGGGGGCTTGTATGCCCGTGGTTGCCACGTGTGGCTTGAATATTTGTAATTATGTTTCCGCTGCTTAATTAAATATTTTACGTTATGATTGTTTATGGATGTACTATGTGTGAATGGTATTCAAGACGCCTAGTATAGTATGGATGAGTTGGACTGCGGTTGACTATTCGTACTGTACGGCGGGTTGTTGACGTGTCCGGTAGGTCCGGGGCGTGACACTATTTGTATAGTTAAAGAGTAATATAATTAAGTATGCATACAAATAATAATATTAATCATATTCAATTCCCTTTGAGATATGTGATGCAAAACAAAAAAAAACATTTGGCAGTACTTATTTTCTTACCCTAAACATTATACAAATATGTAGTAAACGAATGATTTTGAAAATTAAACATCTCACTATAACATATATTAAGATATTGATACATTTTATTTTTTCATTTTCCTATAAGGTCTCGAGTATTTCACAGTAAACATTGATTTTAATAAAATATGTTTATGTATTTATACGTTTTCGTTTTGGCCGCCCTCTAGTGAAATTCTGATTCCGCCTATACTAATCTGTGAATTACCTAGTTGATAAGTTAGTTTTTAAATTTTAATAGAAGTTGTTGAAAATATCAAGTTAAAGATCACACTAATATAGTAATCTAATTATCCTAAAAATTATGTTTAAAGGATGTGAGTCACTAGTGAAAAAGAGACGGTTGTTATGAAATGGAAGAAAATAAGCTGAAGAAGAGTTAATGTATACTCCGTATTAAATATGCTTTTAAGAGAAGTGTTTTGAATGATGCGTTTACAATGAAGGAGAGTCTCTATATATGAAGTATAGACCAAGCAAGTGTTTAACACAAGGTGATAGGATTCATATTAGTCACATAATCATTGTCTATAAATTATAATTGTGATTTTTGAATTATCTTGATAATGACAATAATTGCTTGTTAATCATGAATAGTTTTTTTTAATACCAAAATCATGAATAGTTAAGAAATGGAGTAGTTCATTATATTTCAATAACAATATATTTATAGGAAAAGAGGTCTTGTTCAAGACGTGGGAAGCCTCAAACTCTCAATGTCACGTGAATGGTCACACAAAGGGTAAGGTATCAAAAATTATTTTTTTAAGGGAAAACTGTCAAGTATAGCAAATTATTGTGTTCCGGTGGAATTATTTGATGTGGAATTATTAAAAAAAGAGAAAATTGTCAAATAGGTGCTCGAACTTTCACAAAAAAGTCAATTAAGTCATTCTATAGGAGACTCTGTCCGGTCGTCGCGATTTGGGGCGGTTCCCGGTAGAATTTTTTGATGAATTTTTTTGGGTATCTTATTCATCAAGTCTAGTTTACTCATATCAAATTTCAGCTAAAAATTTAATCAGGAGCGCATTCAAATTAATTCGAGAAAGCAAAAATACGCAGTTATCTTCAAGAATTAATTTGAATGTGTTCCCGATTGAATTTTTAGCTGAAATTTGGTATGAGTAAACTAGACTTGGTGAATAAGATGCTCAAAAAATTTCATCAAATAATTCCACCGGGACATTGAGAATTTGAGGCTTCCCACATAAAAATTATTCATGTTAATCCGGTTTTTAATAACCAAATAAAACAAAAAGAGATCAAAGTTTATTTATCATGTTAAAATTATGTGGTCTTAAAAATAAATAAATTATTGTGTCTCCAAAAGTGAAATACAGCAAACGAAATGTATGGATAATAGGGTCTAATCCGGTTGGTATCGTTCTAATATGACAAAGCTGAAAAGCTAAAAAGGCTACCACCAGAAAAAGCCATCCCTGATAGCTCAGACAACTCGAGCAGGAAGTCCTCGGTAATGGCGGCTCGAGAATACGACCAAGAGCCCTATGCACAAACTCAAAACGTCTTCGAGAAGCTCTTCTCTTCTTACCTAGGCCTAAGCTTCGCACTCTTTCTTGGCCACTTACCCAGACAAGCATTTTCTCTGGTTTCAAGACTCCAAACTCGCAACAAAGAGCTGACTTTCCAGCTCATAGACACAGAGGAGCAGCTCAAACAGCTCATCTCGAGGAGAAAAGAGGACTCGAAGGCCAATGCGAGGGTTGTGGAGATCTTCGCGAGCCACCGCCACGCTTGGCGGCAGGAGGAGAGGAAGCTGTTGCAGGAAATCGAGGAAGGGGGGAAGGAGATCGTGAGGCTGAGGGGGAGAGTGCAGGAGCTGGAGAAATCTGGGGTTGAGCTGAAAGAGAGTTTGGAGGATATGAAGAAGGAGATCGGTGAGCGAGATGAGATGTTGAACTTCATGAGTAGTAGTGGACGTTCTGAGAGGGGTCCTCCCATTTTTTCTCCTTGTGAGATGGGGAGTGAGAATGGCGGGGTAGATTCAATCTCTGATTTGAGGGGGTTAGGGTTTGAGAAGGCTGGTGGGTTTTCAGAAGGAATGGATTTAGGGATGGGGATGGAAGAGTTTTTCTTAAGGAGTGGCGATGGAGTCAACAATAGTATGGAGGAAGTCAACAGTGCTTATGGCTTTCATCCTGAGTTCTTCACTTCTCCTTCCAAGTTCTTGCCTGAAAGAGCTAGTCCTTGGCAGGTAAATGTCGTTCTTTGTATTTTTTTTTTTAATTTCCTTTCAAAAAAGTTTTTTTTTTTGTTTTCTAATATGAAGCTTGTTGTAGTCTTATAGACGAAGTTCCACTAAACTAGTAATCACTCTTAACTGAAAAAAAACAGGACACTGCTGAGCTTGTGCGTTAAAGTTATCTCCTTATTATTCACTTGTTCTTGCTTCCTCTACCAGATTCTCTGATTTCCGTTTTTTGAGTGTTTCTTTTTATTCAATTTTCTTTTGATGGGTAGGGGTGTTGGCGGGTTTGGCTTTATTGGTTTTCAGTTTTGTCTGTATGGTTTTGGTCAGTCCAGTTTTGAGAATTGTAAAAACCAGGAACCAAGAGAATACTCTGGACTCATTTCTGTTTCCGTTCCATTATTTTCACCGGGCTCGTGTCAGTTTTGTCCGGTTTGGCATGTTTCGGTTGGTTCAGTCGGGTTTCTATGTATAGCCCTCAAACTGTGAACGGATCGGCTTATGGATTCGCCAGTTTTGATTTATGTCAGTTCTATTTTGATCGGTTTATTTGTGTTCATCTGTATTTCAGTACTAGGTAGAGGGTATTGGACGTAGAAGTGTAGTGTTTTTCAAGTTCAAGCCTTAGTTTTAAGTATAGAAGTGTAGTGTAGAGTTGCCTGGACCACTCTAACTCTCAAACCAAATGTTTGTTAGGCAACTTTCTTCCTGCACCATTTTCAACCTCCATAGTACCTTGTGGTCCTTCCAATAGTTACTCTAATTAGGTGATTCTCACCAGGAAAAGCCATGAGGGATACTAGTAGACGTTATTGCATGTTTGGGGACTCCACGGTTGAGCTTATCAGGTTTTGTTTTTACCAAAAAATAATTTTGTTAACTGCATAGGTTGAATTGGTTAATAATGAAAAAAATTGTGCATATGTACTTTCTTTTCTGAAGCCAGTGAATTGAATGGTAATGCCAATTTTTCATTCCTTTTTATTTATGAAAAAGATATATTTCAATTACTTTTACGCTCAGTTAGAAAGTTTGTCCATTTCAGTCAAATTCACTCTTACAAAATGGTCTGTATTTATTTACATGATCGTCTTTCCTTCAATGTTGATTGAGGGCTGATTTCCCGCTTGGTAGGTGCAGTGAAAACTATCCTTCAAATTTGGTCAACTCAATGTCCGTCCATTTACATTGTTCTTATTTCAGAGTAATCACTCTTTAGTGTAGTGGATCTGTATTTATCATACCCGCCATGTTTTCGCGGTCTTTGTTAGCTTCCTCATTGATGTAGACAAGCAAGAAAAAGGACTAACACACGGTTCACACAGTAGTTAGGGGAGTATAAGGTGTTCATAATACAAATCAGAGCTTTCACGGATCAAGGCACTATAAAAAACATTTCCCGTTCCCCTGATTTATCAATCTGACCCCACTGATCTGTAATAAGGTTCCGTGTTGTTTTCCCTTTGCTAAAGTTCGTTTTCTGAAATATAGTTATTTGGCTTGTTGCAGGATATGAAGCATGATACTCATGAATCATTGTATCACTTAAAGCATTTTGTAGCAAGGTAAACTACACCTCTTGTTAACAATCCGCATAAAGTTGTGTGGGTGTTAAACTCCCCTAAATATGAATTTACTGTGTAGGAAAAATAACTCATTCATATAACTTTTTATAGTAAAAAAGGCAATTGTCTAAATCTCACTAAACCTATTGGCTAGTCAATTTTTATGGTGGAGGTGTTGAGATCCACAGACTACTAGGTTGATGATAGAATTCAAGAATTGGTCAGAGTCACTCAATAAGGTCTTAAGATACTTGAATCAAACCACACTAAAAGATTAAATCCAATTGGTTGGCTAGTTCAGCCTAATATCCTATCAACTCATCATTCTCTTTTTATTTGCATGATGTGAGACTAACAGTAGACCAAATTAGTATACCGCATTTGGGGGTGGGCACTGGGCAGTGGACCTCATTGCTGACCCCCTAGCTACGCAATGACTATGTGCTGAACAAAATAAGTTTATGCACGGGTGACTAATATTTCATATGCAGAAGAGAAGCACCTTGGAAAGGTGATGGAGAATCAACTGGTGTTTCTTCAAAATTAAAACTACTTGAACAAGAACTGCTAATTCTCGAAAGAGTTGGAAAGACAGATGTATCGAAGGTACCGTCGTTCATGCGAAAGCAGGCCAAGAGATATCAAGCACTTTCTGAAAAAATTGACGACCTCTGTAGAAGAATGGTATGCCTAATGATATGTATGCTAAGTCTACATTTTTTGAACATCTTTACTTCATAACCCAAATATGTACCACAATAATCCCTTGCTGCTAGAGTATGGGATTCAAATGACAATGGCTCTAAAAAATGCTAGGCCACTATAGTAAGGGGTATTGAGTGTTAAGTCAACCCATGTCACCCAAATACATTTTAAGCAGTGAACTCCAAAAGATAATATGGTATGAAAGCCTTATAATATGGTATGAAAGCCTTATATCTCCAACACAGCTGGCCATTTAGGAGTCGATCAAGCAAGGCAATAGCCCTAAGTTTGATATAATAAGGGCTTCTAGGGGCAATTTGCTTTCTTTGAGACTTTGACTGTTAGTAGTAGACTTTGTTTTTCATTAAGAAGAGCATCATGAGGAAAAGAAATGATTGGAAAGAATTGCGAGTAATGAATAAGAGACTAGTGAAAGAAGTTAAACAGAGCCCTAAAACTGTTGTCTTAAATTTTATACTACGTAATTATTAAATGCCTTGTCTTTGGCCATCCATCCATTATACTTAATATTTAAACTTTTTAAATACAGTAAGCCCAATATTAGTATGTTTCAATGAGCCACATCTTATAGAAATGTTAGAGCCCATTTTGGATTGAATATTAAGTCTTAATATTTTATGCGTTGATGTTTTTTGGAAATAAAGAAAACTAGTATGTCATTGTAGTTATGTTTTTTGTTGCAAAATAATGAAATACATATCACTACATTAGGAGTAGAAAATTAGAAAAAGAATGAATTGTTTTTGTTGTTCACTGTTTTCTGCTCCATACCACAAATTTGTATGCATGTGTGCTACCATGCTAAGAAGTTTCTGAGGCAGTATGGATCTTTCTGACAGCAGGCTAGTGATCCCGGCGATCCATCACTGGCTCCCGAGTTTCGAACACAGAGACAAACAGAGTATTTGCTTGAAGCGTTCAGGCTTCAGCAGCGGGCATCTGAAACAGGTCAGAAGCTGTTGGTGCTACAAACAGAAATAGCAAAGGGTTGTTGCGGGGATAAATTTGAGGATCAACCTAAATTAGCTACAAAGCGAACCTTCGACTCAATTAGAAATAACTTCAGGGAAATTCAAAGAAATCTAGAAATATGGCTTGCAAGAATTATCGGGGATCTTGAAGGCATCCTTGCAAGAGATGGTGCTTCGCATGCGCGTGACTATTACCTGTCTAGGTACCCTTTTGTGCAATAGTGATGATGATATGTAAAATAGCCTCATTCCATCTAGAATCATTCGTTTCACTAAATTATATAGCGTTTCCAGTTGCCACTTTTGGTAAGTTCTCTCAAGCAGTGATCAAGTGGTAAATAGCTAGCTTAAATTAACCAATAGGCTTTTGGAGAGAATGTATATGTTTCCATGTTGACTGACGATTGGTACTACCACGGAAGGTCGTCTGGTACTTATCCTATACTATAATGTTGTTAAGCTAAGACTAAGATGATGGCACTCATTAGGTTTTGTATTGAAATGGTTGAAGCCAACTCCAATCACCAACGGAAGTGTTTCACTTAGCTGTGTTACAAATGAGTTTAGCTGTATTGGTGGTGCATTATTATACTCGATGTGTGCTCATCCAATTCAGGCAGAGCACATGAGCCGCACCCCTATGTGGTTCTCACCATGATAGCTCTTCAAGTCACATTTTCTTTTACTTGTTCCTGAAGACAACACATAAACTCCATTGAGTCCATTCCTGCTATCTGCTTCTGCAATATCCCTTTAGAAACGCTCCCTAAACTGCACATCATCGATTTCTCATCCTCTCTAGTCCTGTCATCACACAAGAAGATTGAAGAACTAGCACATGGTTCCAACCATTTGTCTCTCCTGCCTAGTATTTGGCTTAAGCCAAACCCCATTTAGCTTCTTATAAATGAAAGGCCCAATTGCAAGCACTGAAGCAGTACCAAACAATGCATGTCACCCTCAGGGGAAGCAAAAAGTTAAAACTCTCTCGTACCTGAAAGTCCAGCAATTAACATCGCGTTTCCCTCTCAGGCTCTCACCCTCATGTATGCCTTCCAAAACCTTCATAATTTTGCTTAACTTGTTACAAAAACACACTAACAAAATCCAATTTACTAGGGGTGGGCATATCGGTTTTCAGTTCGATTTTTATCGGTTTTGGTTCGGCTTGAAATTAATAATGTAATATTGAGGGTTTACTCTGTAATATCTCATAACTCTGTTTATTATAAATACCAGGCTAAGTCACCCTAATAGGGTAAGCCATTATTCCCTAAAATTACACGTTTGTATAGAAATCGGTTGGGAGAATTATTACCAAACAAAAATCATACTATTTTTCGGTTTGGATTTGTTTTTTTAATAGTATATGAAGAATTTATTGAATTTCTTTAGTTCGGTTTGGTTTTGCTCGGTTTTTATCGGTTTCGATTTGGTTTAATACAATTTACAAGAAATACTACTAAACTCAAATCAAATTGCATATGGTCCGGTTTGGATTTGGTTTAATTCGGTTAAACCAAACCGATATGCCCACCTCTACAATTGCCTATGACATCTTCCATGTCATAAGGCTATAAACAAGTTGTGAACAGAACCCAAAGGTCTGCATGACTGAGCAGCATTTTGTATAAAAGAAATTCCACAATGCCAAGCCAATGCACTGTTTGAATATCCATGGTACAGCAGAGCACTAACATCATCTACATGGTGTGTGTGTGTTTGGGGGGGGGGGGGGGGGCTAGAGAAATCTACTAGTACACACTACACATGCTGCCGATACACACCCTTTTGTTAGACGCCTTAGAAAATTCACGAGTTTGGTATGAGGTTAGTCAAGCCACCCGTTAACAATCTTTATAGCTTTGAATGGTCGTCCATTCCCACCTTTGACTCTTGCAGTGCTCATACATCTCATCATCATCATCACCCCAGGGTCATGCTCATGCATCTCATCAACTACGGTGGAGTAAGGAAGTCGGATGTACACAGCCTTACCCTTGTACTAAAGCAGAGACTATTTCCTGATGAGCCATAGTGGAAATCGCGTAAAAAATTCCATGGACTGACCGTTGTTCATAACAAAGAAGTGCAGACAATTTATTGAGTCATTTTACTTCCAAGTAAAAAAATAGCAAGTCTTTGACTTCATTGCAAATGATGGAAATAGTGGTAATGCGTCTACCATTGAAAAAATTGCAACTCCTATTGTCTCATTGCCTCTTAAATCAAAATCAGAGACGCCTACTTCGTGCGCAAAGTTCTTTTATGACGATGCCATAGGAGATGAAACCAAGTTTTCAACCTTGGGAGAGAAATCGTCACACGTAATAGAATCCCAACACAAATTTAATTTCTTTATTACTTTTGGTTACAGGAATTTGACCAACGATGTTTAACATGCACATGGGCTAAATCATACGGAGTAGAATATAATATTAGACATTTAGAAGTGAGGAAAAATGTTAAAGCAAAAAACTGAATGTAACATTATAAATACAAGCTCCTATTTAAAAAAAATACATACAAGCTCCTATATAGGACGACGTATCTATTAGGGACTAGTACTATTCGTTTGTTAGTTTAAGGGTTGACCGTTTCACTTTTGGTCTACTCCGTTTAGAGGAATGCAAGTCCTAAATCTAACCGAGTAACTTTACCCAGTTTTAATTAGTTCCCATTATGCTGATTCGTGTTAGTTTTGATCAATTTGACAAGTTTAAATCGGTTTTGAAATCATGAATCTCAAACCATAAACCGTACCACGTATGATCTGGTCATTTTTTAAATCTTTGAGGTCTTGTTTATCAATTTTTTATTCATCCCTATTAAGGCTAGTTGTCTAATTTGAGACTAGAACTAGTTATTAAGATTAGAATACCACCTCATGGATTATGAATCGTTTTTGTAAATAGGAAAAGGTACAACCCTCAACAATAATGAGTGGAGGTCTCATCCACTCAATACACGAGGAACATGTTAATTGAGTACATCAACTTGTATGAGGCGGAGTAAAGAGTACACTATATTGCATTTGATCTTTATAAGTACACAAACTCAGATTTTTAGTATTAATTGAGTACACCCGTTAAATTAACACATTAATACAGTTGAGTTGTCTAATAGAGTGTTGAGTAAGAAGGGGTAATGGACCAAGGTTATGGCGCCGACCTTCACGAAGTCGTCCAAAAAGGGAAAATCGAACTTCAGAGGTCGACTTGCGGGGGGTGTCGGTCAACAGGGGTGCATCGACCAAGGAGAAGTCAACATGTGGGGGACTGATGTCGATAAAGGAGAAGTCAATGATGTGGCTGGGGGCTGGCTCGACCTTCAAGAAGTCGACCTATTAACGTTCTGTTAGCCAACTCAGCCGTATTAACGTGTTAATCTAACAGGTGTACTCAATTTACACTAAAAACTCGAATTTTTGTAATTAAAAAGATCAAATGCAATATTGTGTACTTTTTACTCCACCTCAATACACTCAACAAGAAGTGGTAAGGACTCTCACTCACTCAAAGAAGTGGGAATGCAGCACACTCTCAATTCCACTGACTCCCAAAGTTTCTCTATAAAAAGAAGGTCCTCTCCACCTCAAAAATCAAGTTTTTAGATATCAAAAGCCGAGCTCTCCTCTCTTAGTCTTCAATTGAGCAAGATTTCCTACTATTTTTCATACTTTGTATTATTAGTTAATTTTCTTCAAAAAACCTTGTAAGTGTTTCTATGATGTTTTGGATTGTTTTGGGTAGAGCGCACTTATACAAAAATTTGGTAACAAATTTATGTTTACCTTCTTATTCCTTATTCTATTATTTAGAACAAAAAACTTGTAAAATTTTGGATCCAAATCTACCCTTCATCCATAGTTTTAAGTTCTCACGACGACGGACGTTACTCTAATCTCTTTTTCACTGTCTCAAGCATCTTAATTCCAAAAGCATAACAATTAGCAAGTCCCTAATATATCATTTTCATTGTTTTGTTATTGCGGTAATTTGAGACTCCACTATGAATATTGAAGGAATGTACAAAATGGTTAAATCCTACTTCTTCAAGGACTTTTTAATCTGAGTTGTGTTTTGTTTTTGAAATCTGAAAAATTATACAATATTATCAAAAGTAATTACCTTAAAGAAGAGTAAACATGCCCCTATTCTCTAACACGAAACATTACCTTCATGCCCTTAATATAATTATAATTAATTAATTACCCCTACATGTGCATGTCTCGGTTCCAAACGTAACCGGTATTAAGCTATCCCACACCGGTTGCGTATATATTAAGCTATCCCCAGGTCTTAATATGGTATCATAGCCAATTAAGCTCCAACGAGTAATTAGATCCTGGTAAGCCTCAACAACGAGCACACGGACTACAAGATTGGTCAGCTCCAACGAGCCACCATCTTGTGGGGGTGTATTAAGCTATCCCACACCGATTGCGTATAGAAATACAAACCAACATATAAAGTCTTGGGCTCCCCCTATCAGGTTGACCTTTTAGGATGGAACCCCGGGTCTTAATAACCAGAACTAGACTGCCGGTTTGAGGTTCTGAATTTTGGTGAACTAGAACACACAGTGCCAGTTTTTAAACATGCGATTCCGGTTCCGGTTCCTATTCGTTTTTTCGATACCAAATTATTTATTTAATTTTATATTCAAAATTTATTTAATTTTTTAAAAATAGAGTAGGTAATATATAATTACTAATAAGGTTATTCAAATGAAAGAGCTCTAAACAATATGAGTATACCTAATAATTATTATTTCAATTCTATAACTAAGTACAATAATAGATAGTTATTAATTGAGTATTGTTTTTAAATAAGTGGGTGTTTGGATCTGATTCTTAAAACTGCTTCTGCTTCTTCATGGAGCAGAACTAGAAGTTGGAGTGTTTGAGTGAAAGTGCAGAAGTGATTATGGTGCTCTAATTTACTCCTAGAATCAGTTTTTTTAGAAGTTGGGGGAGTAATTGAAGAAAATCGCAATTTTTCTTGCTACAGTTAAAACACGTTGAGCTGTTGTCGCAAGAGCAAAAACTCTATTCCAAATAAATGTATGTGATTACTTGAAAGAGGAGAAGACATAGCCTAGTGATAAAGAAGTTCAACATACCAAACTGACGTGTAATTTTTTGTTGTTGACAATTCTTTCTAACCTATTATAGTATATGTTCTATGTAAGGCCAACATCCTTGAACTGGGATGAGATTCGAACCTGTGACCTCCCCCTTGGCAGTGCCACAGTGATGCAATCAGATGACAAAGTAATTAGAACCTATAATCAATATATAGGCTGTTTGTTACTTGTGTTCTTTTCTAATACGGGGTATTTTTCCTCAGCTTGTGCTCTTTTGGTGTTGTATTGTTCTTGAGAAAAAACATTTTCTTAACTTCTATTTAGATGTAGTAGAAACGAAGTTACAGTGATTATAAATTAGAGGCTATATTTGAACTCAAATTTTAACTTTCTAAGTTTTTTGCTCCAAAAAATAGGACATATTCCCTCTCACGCTAATAGTGGGAGGGTA